TGCGGGACATCAGGCGCAAAATTGCAGCGTTTTAGCTTTAAGATGGTGAAAATTGAAAATTATAAAGAAAAATAATTTAAATCATTAAAAAAATGTTTTATCAATTATTCGCTTTTGGAAATGCTTTCAAGGATGCTGAACAGAGTACAAGAATGCGGTTGTAGGTACATATGTACTTATATGAGAATACAAAGGCTCGCAGAAATATACAGGTGTGTGAATACAGAATGTCAATTCCTTTAAAAAATTGCGAAAAATATGTAGGGTGAAAATTTAATTTACGTATTTCTATTATATTATATATTAAGGGCAATTATGGATGCAATAGATAACCGGGAAGGTTATAGATTTTATAGTTTGAGATGTATACGATATACATCAATGACTTCAAAAAGGATGAAACCATCAATAATGAATATATTCAATTGGTACATTATGCATGATGACAAGAATAGTAATTATATCCTAAATAGTATACTACTTCATATTGATAAAATAATGAGGTACTTCCGAAGATGAAGAGTTGGAGTAAATGTGCTGAAAAAACAAAAGCTATATTCATTACAAGACGTAGAAATCAAAATCCAAGAAAAATAAAAGTCAATAATATAGAAATTGAAAGGTTATGTAAAATTCTTAGGTCCAACTTTTGACAGAAGAGTATGATAATGTACAATACTTAAGTCTAACTTTTGACAAAATTATAAGATAATTTGCTTAACTTTTGACAGAATGAGAAGGTAAAGTCTTGTAATAAAACTCTAAATGCTCTGACACCATTAATACAGCGAAAGTTAAGTGTAAATAAGAAAACCCTGCTTCATAATCAAGTAATTAGACCTAAGCTATCTTATATTTGTGTTTCTTATTGAAATGCTGCTCCATCCACATTAATAAAATTTCAAACTTATCAAGATTTTGTATTAAGAGGTATGCTTAAAACCCCATGGGATATCATAAATTAAGATATATACAAAAACTTGAGAGTCAAAGGTGTGCA